TCGACGATGGGCAAAGAGGAGGATCCCAAGTGGGCGCGTCATCGATCCCAATTCAACGTGGACCCCTTTGCAGAGCGTCCTTCTGCCGATCACTACTCTTTCCCGCTGGTCGACGCGCAGCAGCTGGCCGACCGAGCTGCGAACAAAGACTCGCCAGCGGATAATCCCAGACCTCGACGAGTGAGGATGCTGGCGCGAGATTTCATCGACGACAGCCTCTACAATCCCGTCTACGGCTACTTTTCGAGGCATGCTGTTCTCCTCCCTGACCCCTCGTCTGCCCCTTCGAGCGGAGAGGTGGGTGCCGTCTCGGAGCAAAAGGGTACCGGCAGCTCGTCTTCGCGCTCAGGCTTCCATTTTGCCGAATTTTCCAACGATCGAGAATTCTCTGCTGCCGTGGAATCTCGCTACTTGGCCTTCGAAGATACGCTGCCCTTGGGCCCTTCTAGCCCATCGTCTCGTCATGCCAAATCGCATCCGTCTTCGCTTTCCGCTCTCGGCTCGTCCGCTGCAGCGGCCCAGCTGGCACGTGCCAGACCGCGCGACCAAATACAAAACAAGTCGAGCGCCAATTTCAGAGTTGGTAGCGCCGAGGACTTGGAAGAGAGGCAGAGGAGGGGAAGAGAGGAAGTGGCGAGGCAAGCTCAGGCCGAGAGAGATAGACAATTGGGTATCAAGAAGGATCATGAAGAAAGCCACGAGGCTGACGTAAGGGCAATGGCGGCTAGGCAAGTATGGCACACTCCCACCGAGCTCTTCAAGGTGAGCCGCACTGGGTTGCGCACCCTGACTTGGGGCAGTCTAGCAAGCATCATGATGAGCTGTTTCGTGGCTCATCTTCTTGACGCCTGCGCGCCCGCTTGTTTCCCTATTCGCAGCCACACTACGCTCAAGCAGTTGCGCGGTACCTCTGCGCCGAATACAAGTTGACGCTGTACCCCTACGAAGATCTAGTCATCTACGAGCTAGGAGCCGGATCGGGAGCTTTGGCTCACGACATTCTTGCCTATTTGAGAGACGAGGAACCAGACGTGTTTCAAAGAACGCGCTATGTAATCTCAGAGATCAGCGAGAGGCTGTCGCAGCAGCAAAAGGCGAAGTTGGAACCCTTTGCTGGCAAAGTCAGAGTGGTGAACCAGAATTTCCTAGAGTGGAAGGACACTGTACTCGCTCCTTGCTTCGTCATCGCCCTCGAGGTCCTTGTGAGTCTACAGCGGGGGTTATGGACAGTCTCGCCTGATTGCTGATAGTCTGCTTCCGACTAGGACAACCTCACCCACGATGTCGTGCGTTACAGCACATCGACGCTGCAACCTTATCAGGGTCTAGTCTCCATCGACGCCACAGGTGATATGGAAGACTTGTACGAACCAGTACGAGATCCGCTCATCTCGCGGTACTTGCAGCTCTCGCGAGCCGTGCGAGGCACAGCGGTGCCCATCTCTGCCCCGCGCCACCTCACGTCGCTGCCATCCAGCATTCGCAAGGTGTTGAGCGAGCACTTTCCCCTTTATCCCAATCTCACGCCTCCACAGTACATACCTACTGGTCAATTGCGCCTCTTGGACGTGCTCAGGTCCAAATTTCCTCAGCATCGTCTTATCGCTAGCGACTTTCACTCTCTGCCGGACGCCATAGAAGGCGTGGATGCGCCGGTGGTGCAAACCAGGCTCAACGGCACAATGGTACCGGTGACAACGTTCAAAGTGCTGCAAGGCTTCTTCGACATTTTCTTTCCAACCAATTTTCAGATGCTCAGAGACATTTACACGCGTGTCATGAGCGATCATTTCCCTACTCAGCCGCCGCAAGATCAAGATGCAACATCCCATTCTGCTCCCACCTTTCGACCAGACTTTTTCTACAGCTCGGCAAGAGCGAGCAGAGGCAGGGCGCAGAGGGTCAAGATCCTCACACATGCTCAGTTTCTGGAACAATACGCACAAGTCGATCAGACTAGACTTCGGGATGGTTCCAATCCGCTGCTGGGATGGTACCAGAATGCCAGCTGGATCCTGACTTGACCTTTAGGTGTATAATGCGATATATTCCCACAAAATAACGATCCGGTCGCTCAGGAATAGGGTGACGAAATGCGGACAGGCAGCGGGTAGATCATGGGACGGGAGTAAAATGGCAAAGGGGCTGTCTCTCGCTGAGCCTCGATCCACCTCATGCACCTCCTAGCGCTCTTCGAAGCTTTTCGTATAGATCAGCGGCCTCGCCTGCCTTGGCGACGCTTTCAAAGCTGGCAGTTCCGGCAGGCGAGCCTCTCTTGCCAGACGCCGCGCTGACTTCCGCCGCTCCACTAGAGCACACCCGCTCATTTCGCAAAGGAGAAGGGCTTTGGAGGCGAGAGGCTACCTGCGTAGGCCGGTTCGCGTGAGCACGAGGTGTCGAAGAGTTGAAAGGGTTGGTCATTGGAGACTCGGCTTCGGGTATTGGACTCGGTCTTTCGTAAACATGTGCCGAGCGTGATGAAGCTGAGGGAACCTCCCACGGCATTGCGTTTGCGCCTGGTCGCAGCACGCAGGGCATAGGGGGCTTCGCAGGAACTGGCGGAGGCATCTGGTGTTCCCCTCGACATCTCGTAAACGTGCTGCTGGAAGAAGCGGTGTGTGATGGATACACACTTGACACTGTTCCACTCCGCGAAAGTAGCGGTAGAACAGACTCGCCCGATTCCGAAGGCTCGACCTCACGCGCTCTACGATAATCGATCAGCTTCTCCTCGTCGCTCTCCTCTGATCTGGGTGAGTACGTCGTGCCGGCTCTGCGGTGACCTGCACCCGCTGTTGAGCCTAGCGCAGCATATTCGCTCCTTCCTCCATGTCTGACGAGATTCGAGTACCCTCCAAAACGTTCGCGTGGGTATCGACGGGGAGTAGAGCGTATAATCGGGGTGTAGAGATCGGCGGAGGCTTGACGTTGTGCTGTTCCAAGATGGCCAAAGCGCATGTCAGTAGCTCCGTAGCTTGGGCCAGAGCTGATCGATGCGCTATCCAGATGTCCATCTTTGGTTATCGAATGTCCACTGCGGGAGCGCGCGAGTGCAAGACTTGCGACGCTCATCGAAGCTGCTCGCTTCATGTCTTCCATTTCGCGTCGCACCGAGTGCCGCTCATTGCTTTCTTGCTGCATTCGAGCTGCTTGTTGTTGAGAACTTCCTCGTTGACCTCTTCGGTAAAGACACATAGCCACACCAATGAGAAGAGCTGCGCTGACGACCGCCAAAGGCACTGCCACCGCCGCAATGGGAAAAGATCTGCCAGAATTTTGCGACTCGAGCATTTGATCGTTGGGGTTCGCTGGTGGCGGCGCTTGAACAGCCGAGAGATCCGTGCCAGTCGGCGCCAGGACGAAGGCGGGTGAGAGCATCTGTTCGCTTCCATCAGGTGCCTGCCTGATCACGTATCCGAGGCCTCGGCGTTCGATTTCTGCATCATCTTCATCGCTCTCTTTGCTCTCTTTCTTCTCTCGGTCCATGCTTGACCAGCCCTTTGTCTGAGAAGATTCCTCCGCGCTAAGTGTTCTGCTAGCACTGCTGCTCTCCTTCGACTTGAATGCAGAAGTAGAGGCGCGAAGCGGAGCTGCGACGTCGTTCGAAGAAGCGGCGGAATTGGAACTCGCCGGTGCAAGCAGTACATAAAAGCTGTCCGCCGAAGACACGGACGGCGCCGGGCTTTTTGGGAGGAAGAGCAAAAACGACTTGATCAGCCATGCCGGTCCATCGTCCGTCAAGCGAGCTCGCTCGACTCACAAACGAATTTCCCAAGTATTAGGCTGACCGCTCACACTTGGAGAAACGGTT